TTATTATTTTTGGAAAGTTCAGAACAATACCGTAAATATTTGAATTTGCTAATTTTTTGATTGACAATTTTGTGATGTAATATGTATGTAAGTATATTTCAGCAAGGATCCCCTTTCGTTTTTGGAACCCCCTAGGTTTGATTCCAGATCTGCATGATTCATATTCCCATTCATCTTGTAAGTGCCGCAGAGCATTAAATTTTGAGAGTAAATAATAGGTCATAGATCTTAATCAATTCCCAATACCATTACTCTGAAAAAAATTAGTTATTTCTTTGTTTGTATAGTATAGGTGAAATGTTAAACGGTAATCAATGTTCATTTAAAAGACAATATGGCCGCTAATATGGCCACCAATATAGCTGCCAAAATGACTGGGCAATGTATTACTTACGAAGTCAATGTTTTGTATTGAGAAAATAAACACTGTTTATACCATAGGCCTATATATTTAGAGGTTCATTTGATTTTATATGATTTTAAGTTAATATACTATACAAATTAATAATTTTCATTGACAGTTCAATATGGCCACCAATATAGCCACTTTTAATGTATTGAGAAGTCATTTTTTTGTATTGAGAACATAAACACTACTTACTATATACATTTAGAGATTTATTTGATTGTATATGATTTTTAGTTAAATAAACTATGCAAATAATTGATTTTCATTCAAAATCCAAGATGGTCGCCAATATGGCCGTCAAATGTAAATGCGAGGTCAATGTTTTGTATTAAGAACTTAAACACTACTTACTACAGTATATACATTTAGAAATTAATTTGATTTTATATGATTTTCAGTTAAAAAATTATGCAAATAATTGATTTTCATTCAAAATCCAAGATGGCCGGCAAAATGGCGCCAAATGACCCCATGGGACAACTTTTTCGATGCGAACATCAAAATTCTTTCATCAGATACTTTGAGGATTATAAAAATATTATTTAAAAAATATATCCTGGGGGTGCATGGGAACCCCCCCCCCCCCCCCGTTCCTACTAGACTAATAACGGACCATTCCACTAAGCCCCCAACCCTTGAAAATTGTGGCAAAAATAATAAAAAATAACTATCTAGATGCCTGGAAAATAGCTACTGTCGCTTTTTCTCCTGGATTTAAAGTTAGTCGATGACTACGGTATGGTCTGCATAGTTTGGAAATGTGAGCAAATGTTCCTAAAATTAAAAATGGTCAAAAACGTTTCAAATTAATTTATAACAAGGGGCTTAAAATAGGGCCGAGGCTATAGTGCGCTACAAAATACGCACATGGTGATTATCTATTTAACATTCTGACATTGTGGTGCTAAAATTAATACATTTATATAATAAAGTTAACAGTATATATGTATATATATATATATATATATATATATGTCCTATTGATACATCCATTATATAGACTGGTGGATTGATAAACTGATAGGTTGGTGGATTGATAGATTAATCGATTAATAGACTGATGAATGGATACATTGATAGAACTATGAATCAATATAGATTAAATAGATTTATAGACTGATGCATTAATGTATTGATAGACTGATGCATTGATAGGTTGGTGGATCTATACATTTATGGACTGATAGGATGGTGGATTAATAACCTGCTAAATTCTAGACCGATAGTTTGAGGGATCGAGAGACTAACATATTATTAGACTACTGGATCAATATACTAATGGACCATTAAGTTGATGGATTGATAGACTGATGGATTAATGAACTGACGAATTGGTAGCCTGATGGATTGTCTGCTGAAATGATAGACAGATAGACGGTTTGATAGACAGATGGATTGATTAAATGATGAAAGGACAGACAGGTGAATCAATAGACTGGTGTATTGATATAGACCAATAGACTGAAAAACAGATTGAAAGACTAATGGATTGGTATACTGACAGACTAATGGATTCAGAGACTGAATGCCTGATGTATTGATAAACTGATTGATAGACTGAAAAATTATTGATAGATGGATGGATGGATGGATTTACAAACTGATGGATTGATAATCTTTTGGACTGATTGCCTGATTGATTGATAAACTGATGGATTTATAAACTGAATAATTGACAGGTAGACTGACAGAATGGTTTAGACTCATGTATTTATATACTGATGTATTTATATACTGATGTATTTATTTACTGATGTATTTATATACTGATGTATTTATCTACTGATGTATTTATATACTGATGAATTTATATACTGATGTATTTATATACTGATGTATTTAGACTGATGGATTGATAGACTAATGGATTGATAGACTGATTGAATAATGGATTGAGATTCATTACTTGCATCCCCTCACTCTTATTGACCCAACGAAACAGAAAATAACATGATGTGCAAGAATCATTCCATTTATTAAGAAGCCAAAATATACAAACTATGTACTAACTGTTAGTCCCTAAAAACGTTTTGACAGGGTTGTGATCTAAATGCAAATGAACAATCCTCATCTAATATAGCACCTTTAACGGTAAATATTGATTTAAAGTTATTAATACACTATACATTAATTAATATCAACTTTAATAAACTTTTAAGGATAAACACCTTAATTAATGAATACCATAAACAGTAAAATGAATTTTTAGATGAAATGAAACACAATTCCTGTACAGTACTATCACTATTAGCTCCATATATATCATATAATCCTACTTGGACCCCACTATCGAGATAAAAATGAAACTTTTAAGTACACTGAAGTAGCACTGATAGCTTAGATATCTAGAATTCATTATACAGTATAAAAATATGTATGTAAACACGTCATTTTGTACAATATATACTTTGAAAGCCCAAGTACCTAGTACAAAACATTAACTTGCTGACATAATAATTTCTTCCTTATCTATTTAAATTGTATGTTTTTATTAACACTATCAACAACAAACTAGGCTCTGTCCTATCAAATTTTATGCAACATATTTGTGTGATGTGCCCATATATGGGCATATCACAATTATTTATCACATAAAATGTGATGGTGTTGACAAGCCTTTAATCTTGGCGTACACTATCAAACATTTGTCACCCAACACTGATTAAACTTTGTTTGATAGTGTAGGTTTGTTTCAGACAATAAGGCCACAAAAAAAACTGTTTGTGTTATCCATATTTTTAAACTGGATTGTGCTCACTTCCCATTCTGTAGTCCTGGATTGAAGCCTGATTTAATAGTCTGTAAAACTTTGTTGTATGCCAATAAATAGTCATGATGTGCCTATATATGGTCAAGATGTGATGTCATCATGACCATATAAGCTTGTCACATGTTTTTGTCAAATATAAATTGATAGTCTTTAATAGTATATTTATAGCATTACAGGTGTAACACAATGAATAACCTAATTATGAAGATCGGATCAAGATACTTACAATGTAAAATCTTGTTACAACGCTTTAATTACACAAGTATGATTAACAACAATAAAAAATCCGATTTTTATTACTTAATTGCGAGATTTTCATGTGGAGCTTTTCTATGTTGGCAGGGATGTATGGAAGACAATGGATGTTATACAATTTCACAATTATTTATCAATATAGGAGACAGAATATTATTTTCTTTTAAAAAAAAAATCACTTTCAATTATTTCTATACTGCAACTTCAACTTCATCACACAATCCCAACAAAATAATAGCATCTAAATTTTTATATTACATTGATAAATTTCTTATGTACAATTCAGATGCTAGTTTCTTCACTACTATCCACCCCGCATAAAAGTGCTAAACAGATTTTTTTCCACCAGTTTGTAAATTAAAAGTTAGAATTGGTCATCATTCTCATGAAGATTTTATTGTTGATTAAACTTCAGTAAATTCAAAACCTGTAAGAAGAAATTTAAAAGTCATAAGAAATAGAAATTGGATTGCACACCAATAAGCATGCTAAAAAAGACCCACCATGGGGAAAATTTGTACGGCTGCACGAGAATTTGTAACTAAGATCAAGGAATGTATGCATATGCACACCCTTTGTTGAAGTGCAATCAATTACTCTTTTTATG